GCAGGCAGAGGCTGGGCTGGGGCAAGAGGCTGCCTGAGGATGGTTCAGCCTCTCCTCAATTAACAAAGGTCTAATCAGCTCTCGCCTTCCTTGCCAGGTCGCCCGGATATTGGGTGTGACGGTGGAGATGCAGCGGCTCATGGGGGTGAGCTCTGGCATGGAGCTGCTCACCCTGCCCCACGGCCACCAGCTCCGCCTCGACCTGCTGGAACGGTAGGGCACGCTGTGGTGGAGGAGAGCCCACCAGGCCCAGCTCCCCGGGGTGTCCCCAACCCAGCACGGGGGCGGGGGGTGGAAGAGCCCTGGCTGAGCCCTCAGAGCATCCCTAGCCCCCTGCACTGACCCTGCTCTGCATCTCACCCCGTGGCAGGTTCCACACCATGTCCATCATGATCGCCGTGGACATCCTGGGCTGCACGGGCAGCACGGAGGAGCGCGCGGCCCTGCTCCACAAAACCATCCAGCTGGCTGCCGAGCTGAAGAGCACCATGGGGAACATGTTCAGTTTTGCAGCTGTGATGAATGCTTTGGAAATGACACAGGTATGGGGATGCTCCTTCAGTCCTCGTGGCCTCACCCAAAACACATCCCTCTCCCCGTGTCCTGCGGGCTCCAGCACCCGTTGGGGTGCGAGAAAGGGGAAGAATGCCCAGGATAAGAGGCATGGGGCCACATCCGCTGGGATGTGAGCAGGGAAGGGGAAGAGCCATCCCCTCCGCGGAGCAGACAGCCCAGTCCCGCCAGGATCCGATTGTTTTTCGGTGGTTGGGCTTTTTGTTTTGTGCTGGGCTGTGTTCCTGGGAGGAAATGAATCTGCCCTCCGGTACAATACAAATCAGTCTCAAGGCTGTGGCAGCAGCGTCTCCGGGCCACACTGCTCCCTTTGGAAGATGAAAGGAGATTAAAATTCAATTTTAAATCGAGCCCAGCTGGGAAGTCTTGCTTCCTGCCTGCACAAAGGAGGGGGAACGGCTGCCCCCTCCCTGCATCTCATCTTCAAGGCTGCTGCGACGCGGGGAAGCTGCTGTCCTGGGGCACGGGGAGGGGGGAAAATCCTGAACCTAGCCCCAGTGCCAGGGATGTGCCAGGCTTGTGGTCTCTGGATGTGAGCACTGGTGGAGGAGGCTGTTTCGGGGAGCAGCAGGCAAGGCTGGGGACCATGGCTCCAGGGCCAGGCTGTGCTCCCTGGGAGCACCCTGGGAGTCTGGAGCTTGGTGACCAGGGGCTGCACCGGCCCCAGCACCCTCCACCTGCCCCATCTCCCTTCAGATCGCGCGGCTGGAGCAGACCTGGATGGTGCTGCGGCAGCGGCACACGGAGGGCGCAATCCTCTACGAGAAGAAGCTTAAGCCATTCCTGAAGAGCCTGAATGAAGGGAAAGGTAATGGGAGCAACCCCCCTTCCCTGGCCTGCCTGCTCTTTACACTTTTTCTGGGCACAGCCTCACTGTTGGAGAGTTCTGACCCTCTCTCAGCCAGTGCCAGACACTTCCCCTCTGGCTGCTAAACCGCCCCAGCACCCAGCAGGGCCTATTTGGCCTCGATTGCCCCTTCCTTCCCAAGGAAGTGTTTCATAACTAAATAAAACCAGCAGCTGAGCCAAACCCTGGCGCTCACATGGCAGTGCATGCCAAACCCAGGGGACAGGGCAGCTAGTTGGGGAAGATGAAAAGCCGTGTCTCTCCACCGCCCAGTGCTCTGGGGTCTGCAAACCTGCTCCCCATTGCAGCCCTGGGAAACACAGCCCAAGCAGGGACAACAGTGTGCTCTTCCCAGCACAGCCAGGAAGCCTGGCTGGGAGGAGCTGGTGTTGGATGAGGCAATGGCCTCAGGCACAACGATCGAAGAGACACAGCAGCTGCTATGCTACAGATGAGCCTTAAAGCCTCTCCTGGGAGCGTGGTGGCAGCGGCTTTGCAGGGCTGTGTGGCCACATTGAGTGCTCCACAGGGCCAGGGCAGATGGGGAGGGGGACTCAGGGCTATGGGGCCACACAGGGTCCTAAGGGTGCCTCTCTTCCCCAGAAGGGCCTCCGCTGACCAACACCACCTTTCCCCACATCATACCCCTTGTGACTCTCCTGGAGCGGGATGAGGCTCTCACGGACAGCCCCGAGCCCTGGGAGGCCACAGACAATGGCGTGGAGGTGGTCATGGCGCACCTGGAGGCAGCACGGATGGTGGCCCACCATGGTGGTCTCTACAACACCAATGCTGAGGTGAAGCTACAGGGTAAGTAAGCAGCAGAGTCCCTTTCCCTCTGTCACATTCCCAGTGTGCAGCTCCAGCTCAGGGATGGGCACAGGGTCCCCATCCCATCTCATCCCAGGGAACTGACTCTCCCTCTCTGCAGGTTTCCAGGGCAGAGCAGAGCTGCTGGAGGTCTTCAGCACCGAGTTCCAGCTGCGGCTGTGTGGGCCAGCCGTGGGGCTGAGAGCAGCCAGGCCGAGCGCTACGAGAAGTTCGACAAGGTCCTCACTGCCCTGTCCCACAAGCTGGAGCCAGCGGTGCGCTTCAGTGAGCTGTAACCCCCCCAGGCCCTGGAAGACCGCCCAGCTCCCAGCCTGTGCCCCACCAGTGGCTGTGGGGCATGGGGTGGGGACCAGACACCCAGCACCAGGAGGAGGAGAGATGGCCCAGAAAGGCACTGGGGCACGGGTCAGCAGTTTTGAGACAAAGAGGAGGAAAAGCAGCAACCTGAATCTACACTCACCTCCTGAGGACACAACAGGCCAGGGGGTCCACACTGCTACCCTGAGGGACGGGGATGGTGTCTGGGCAGGCCAACACTGGTCTCCATCACGCAGCCCTGCCAAGGTCCATGACTACACAGTGTCCCTCACCTTGCCCTTCCATTTCATTTCTTTTCCATCACTGTCTCGCCCACAGCCACTGGACCTTGCGTGTAAATACGTCGTCACAAACACTTCTCGATGTACAGACTCATGAAGGACACTTCTTGTTGTAAATAATTAGGCTCATTCATTTTTGTGTTGTAAATACGTGTACATATCTCATGGGTTTGGTTCTTACATACAATAAACTTTTATGCCATTCCCCAAGGGGATCCCATGTCCCATGGGTGTCCTTTAAACGAGGCAACCAGTTTCCAGGGGGGCACAGAGCCTGGGAAGGGCTGCGAGGGGGGATCACCACGCCGAACTGAGTGAGCTCAGGACGGCGCAGTGACAGCTGCTCGCAGGGTGCGCTGTGTGCTGTCCCCGTGCCCCTCTCGCGGGGCCCACAGCGCAGGGGGCGCGGAGAACCCGCTCGGGGCGGGGT